CACCCAGTGCGAGACCCGCGCGCCCGAAGCGGCGTCCCGGCAGCCCTCGGGCTGCTCGGGCTCAGGCGGCTGCGGGGAGAGTGGAGACGGCCGGGTCAGCTGGGGCCAGACGCCGTGGGACGGGCGGTGCCGCCCGGACCCGAGTTCAAGCCCCGGGGCTGCCCAAGGGCACAGCAAGGTCTAGACAAGGTCCCGCAGGCACCCCGCCCCGCCCTCACAGCGCCAGGCCCCGCCCTCGCAGCGTCTGGCCCCGCCTCCCCGGCTCTGGCCCCGCCCTCACGGCACCCCGGCCCCGCCTCCCCGCCTCTGGCCCCGCCCTCACGGCCCCGCCGCCCCCTGCGGGTCCCCACTTTTCTTCCACACCCCCAGTCTCCGCCGTGCGGACCCCAGGCCCCGCTTCACCTGCTCCCGCACTGACACCAAGCGCGTCCCATCGAGGCCCAGCGGCTCCTCCACAAAGCTCACGTCGGGGGCCCGCAGGTCGCCTGCGGAGAAGCGCGGCTGTGCCACCTCGCCGGGCCACCGGGGCTAGGCGGCCTCGGTTTACCCTCCCTGGATTCCGCCCCCTCCTGTCTCCCGCTCCAGACCGCGCGGCCTCTCACCGCGGGGCACGCACACCGGGCCGCTCCAGCTGCTCCACGGGCCTCCCGCGGCCCCCGACCGCTCCAGGCGCCGCCGCCGAACTTGGATCTCCTGGGCCGCGTCCGGGAGCAGAGGGCATGGGCAGGATTCTGGGGAGACGCGGGGGAGCCCCGTTCCTGGGCCGCCCGGCTACCGACCCCCGTCCGCGCGAGGCGCCTGCGCCCTGAGGCTCACCTGGGCCGGCCTCGTCCTGAGCGCCGCAGTCGGCCTGGAACGTGCGTGGGTCAGGCGGGACTGGGAGCGGCCGCCCCGCCCCAGCCCCGCCCCTCACTCCTGCCCCGCCTCTCTGCCCCGCCTGGCCCTCTGGTTGGCTCGCCTGGCCCAATTCGGCTCTCAGAGGCGGGGCCTGACAAGGTGGGCGGAGAAGGTTGGCTGGGATGGAGCCGGCATTGGGGCGGGGCTGGAGGTGGGCGGGGCAGGCGGGGGCGGGGCTGGAGC